TAGAAACTTTTATGCAAAAGGATGTTCAAAGGAATGTACTTTGAGTGAGAGACATCATATCTAAGGAATTGTCTTGTAACAATCTACGTTAGAGGACTTTGGAATATCATTGGCAATAGTCTTTGAGACTTTGGTGCAGTGACATTACAAAAGGATCATTGCATAAAGTGTTAGAATCTAGTATACTCTATAAGTAATAAGAATTTGATATTCTTACACTTAAGAAAATGGATTTGGAGTTGTGAAATGAGAATGATTGGAAATGTGTTCAATTTGTCTATTTCACAAAAGTAAGAACCATAGGTAAACATTGTGTGCATGCTAGGAGCATGGGACAAGTGTAATAATTCAAGTAAGAAGTTGATTACCCGAAACGACAAATAATGAGTAATCGATATGGTGATAAATAAAACGTGTTTTATTTATGCTCAAAGGGTTGAGGCCATATGGGATTAGTATTATTCTTGTGTTTCACTTTGCATGTTTTGACTTCTAGAATAATTGAGTTTATTAAGAATAATCGAATTATTCGAACGGGCCACAGTCGTTCATATGTTGGAAGTAGATATGAATGAAGATTGTCGTGAATTGGTGTGTGGATTGTCTAAAAGAGTATTAGACATAAGCAAATGTTTGCTGCAACGTTCATGAGTGCTTATGAATATGATTTGAGCATTGGATTAAACCCACGCTCACTTGGATCACTATCTCGAGTGATTAGTGAGACGATAACATCTTATATTCTTGAAACCGAGATGTGTGAGTTGTATCTTCCTAATCGGTTGCACATTGATAATATGTAAATGCACTAGTAACTTGGTGTTATAAAATATATTGTTGTGTGTGATTTGGTTAGTGAGTGCAAGCAAGCATTGTATCAAAGTTTATCCGTTCCTTTTATCCAAAGAAGGATAAAAGCGATATCTTTTGGGCCCCTCGATGGTTTAGTGATGACAAACGTAAATACTCGGCCGGGCTAGGGCTAATTTGATTTGTTCAATTAGTCTGTCGTCATAAATCGGAAATCGAGATATAGTACAAAGAGAATGATTAAAAATCATATCTTAGACGATATCTAGAATGGAGGAATATATGATCCCTTATCTAAGGGAACGCGTATCTGATAGGATCAGAGTTGACAGCGGCTTTGGAAAGCTACGATTGCAGATCGGGATCTGAAGTCATATGCATAATAGTTATTAGACTTATCCAAGTGGGAGACTGTTGGATTAGTGTCTAAGTCCATAACTATTTTGGTATGTACTTGACCCGATGGTGCATGGTCCTTTTGGGTTGCCTTCACCAAAGCAACTTGATAGGATGAATTATGGAGAGAAAGGATTAAATATGATTTATTAATATATTATGGGAATAATATATTAAAGGAGAAATCATATTGTTTAATTAATATTAGTCAATAATTAATTGGTAATTAGTTTTGTGACTAAAAGAGATTAATTAAACTTAAGGGACTGAAATTGTAATTATAAGATAATTATGATTTGGGCCATGGATTGCCTTAAATTAAGGGATGGACGAATTCTAATGGGAAACCCATAAGGAAATCGTCCATGGGCTTAATTAAAGGAGTCTATGGGTTGCTTAGGGCTTAAGCAATCAATATTAGGGTTTCCTTGTTAGATAACCCTAATAGCCCAACTATATAAAGATCCCTTAAGGCTCAAAAACATGGCTAAGCTTCTTGTTAGGGTTTCACACATTTTTTTGGGCAGCCTCCAACCTCTCTCCTCTTCATCCTCTTGCTTATGGTGTTTGTGAACCATTAGAGGAGTGACACTTGTGACTCTAAGCATTCCAAAGCCAATTCAAGGAGGAATTTGGATTGTTATTGCTACATAATAATCAAGGTATGATCTTAAACCTAATTACATATTAATATGATTACTTGAATGCTAGAATTAGAGTTTATAGTCTTGGATTCAAAGCATGTACAATAGAGAAACCTAGATCCAAGCATTAGGGTTTGTATGAGCATATAGGATGTCTTATGACCAAAACTCATCAGACATAACACGACATGAAAATTAAATGGGTTGGGTTATGGTCAAGATTTTCAAATTGAAAATGACTCGAATATCACCCGTTTAATTATATATCAGTTTCTATAAATTTTAAGTTTTTATAAATATATTATATATTATAAACTTATAATAAGCCAAACTCAATAATAAAAATTAAAATACAAACTTGTAAGTCGACTTAATTTAACCCTCCTCATCACTTATCCATTTTACTACTAAATTTAACTCTTTTCTTTCTGTCATCTAAACTTACTATAAATTTTTTCATTTCACCTCCCAGCACTAGTTTTTCACTTTTTCAATTTCGTTACCTTGTCTCTTACTTTCCAACCTTTAAATTGTTTAAACCCAATGTGACACAATATTTTTACAAGGCCTAAACCTTAACCCAAAACTTGACATGAAACAGGCATGGAAATAAAGTAGTTAACACGACATACCACGATAATTAAACAAGT